GTGTATTAGTTGTTGTAGTTTCATATGTGATACACCTTCAGTACACTATTACTGTAAAACTGAATCTCCACCCAACTCACCTCCTTCTACCTAAAACAACATCATTTCCTTCTCTTTCTAACATCATTTTTCTTATCAAAAGTTGAAAAAGGAACCTACAACTACTTAAACTTGTAGTTTTGAAAGAATTTTTGTGCAGTGAACTAATGATTCGATGCAATATATAACAACTATAATTTACGTTGCTTATGCACAACCATCCATTATTTAGTCCACGAGGGAGTTGGAATCCTCTAAAAGCCACCAGCTTTGTTGAACATGCTGAAATCTCAAAACAATGTTAGCTTTACTTGATATCAGCTTCACTTGCTCTGGTTTCGAATCTCAAACATGCATGAAATGTTAAATTGGCTGCTATACAATTTTCGAAGGTGCAACAATCTATTAGTGATTAAAAAAACATCAAAATTTAGTTGCTAGTTGTTACATTCAATTTGGCATTGAAGTAAGGAAGAAGTAGCTAACTACTAGCTATAATAATACATGTAGGATGATGTCCATTAAAGTGTGTGGTTGTCAAAGTAAGTCCATGATGTTGTCTGAGGTAGAAGGAGGTGAGTTCAGTGGAGATTCGGTTTTACAGTGATAGTGTATTGAAGGTGTGTCCTTCGACTCTTCTATGGCAACTACCACATGGTCGAACTTCGGAGTCAAAGATCTCAAGATCTTTGAAACAACCGCTCTTGTTGTTAACGTCTCTCCACAAGTTTTGATTTGATTCACTAGTTTTGTAACCTTAGTGAAGATATCAGATATGCTTTCACCATATTCCATCTAAAACAATTCATACGTTCTTTTGTGAGTTTGCAACCTCTCCTCTTTCACCTTCTCAGCACCTCCAAACGATTTCTTCAAGATTTCCCAAGCTTCTTTAGCAAATTCAACATCATTAACCTTTTCGAAATTGTCTGAACTGACACATTGGTGAATTATAAAGAGAGCTTTATAATTTTTCTTCTTCGATTCTTTGTATTCTGCTTCTTCTTCTTCTGAATTGTCTTCATCAAGCAATTCTAATCTATATTTCACAAGAACCCATAGACCTTGAAAATAAAATATAACCTTCATCTGTTTGCATTAATTCTCATAGTTATCGCCTTTAAGAATTGGGAGACTTGTTGAAAAAAATTTGTTAGCATAATTCATCATCATTGTGATCTTCTTCTTCTTCTTCCTCGATCGTTTTTGATCGTTCTTTCCTTAAATCTCAACCGAAGCTCTTGATACCAGATGTTGAAAATCTGCTAAAATCTATGATGAATTTCTATCAATCTTGATGAACAAGATTGATATCACCACACAATGACAATGAAAAAATATGAAAGAAAAGAAAGAAAAAAGACAATTATTTTCTGCAGAATTTCTCTCTGTCCACAAACTGTGGAAAACTTTATTATTCACTTGCAACTGCAAATTCTGTGAATACAGTGAATTGACTTAATTACAAAAATAGAGGGTTACTCCAACTATTTATAGATTTAGGTTAACTTACTCTCTAAACCAAAAGCCCAAAACTATAAAAGCCGAAAATGCTTATTTTGAAACTAAATCAAATATATTCTATTTTAGACCTAAATCAAATTTATCTGAATCTAAAACAAATTTAAATCTAAAAACAAATCAAATTTGTGTCCAGTCTGCTTCGATACACAAACTCTTTGACTGGACAATGGTTTTCGTCGAGCAACCTGCTTCGACAACCTCTAACCCTTTGACACACATAATTTTGCCACTATGAATTACAATTTAACAAAAATGATATAGCATTTGCATTAGGATTATTTAATATTGATGAGTGGGATATGTCATTAGTGTGTTTGAAGAGGGGTAGTTTTTCGTTGGTGATTGTTTGGTGGCTTAGGTAGATGTGATATATATTATGTATTTATAAAAATTTAAGTATTTGGAAATTTAAATATTATCCCTCTAATTTAATTTAATTTTTAATCTAAATTCAATGACAGATTAGACTTTTTTTAATTTAATAGATATGACGTGTCATCACATCACAATTTATTATAATTTGTTTTATCACTAAATACACAATGTAATTATTGCTGATAAGATGATAGTTGAGAAGGTAATGAGAACGTTGCCCTCTCACTTTGATCACGTTATCGTAGCTATTCAAGAATCTAACAATCTTGAAACCATTAAAGTGGAAGATTTAGTTGGTTCATTGGAGGCGCATGAGATGAGGATTGTCGAAAGGAAAGGAGTTCAGGACTCGATACAGGCACTACAAGCTCAATCATAGAAAAAAGATGGTGGTTCCAACAAATTCAAAGGCAAGTTCGATAAGACTCGTGGTAAGAAGTCTTGGTCGAATTCCCATAAAAATAAGGTCGAAGATAGATCTTCTGAATCCTCGAAAAAGGGAGGAGGAAACTATCGAAAGGACAAAGAAGATAAGAAAGGTATGCAGTGTTATAACTGTGAAAAGTAGGGACACTTGGCCAAGAATTATTAGTACAGAAAAGACAAGGGATCGAAAGGCAAGGACGAAGGAGCGAACCTTACACGCCAAGATTCAGATGATTCTGAAGGTGGTATGATGGTTATGGCTGCAGTTGCAGATAACCATGTTGAATCTAATATCTGGTTTCTCGACTCAGGTTGCTCGAACCACATGACTGGTCGAAAGGAGTGGTTGGCAGATTTTGACGAATCGAATAAGAGCAAGGTAAAACTTGTTGATAATAGTTCGTTGCAAACAGAAGGTACTGGCAATATAGTCTTTCAAATGAGTAATGGAGGGAAAGCTATGATCAAAGATGTGCTTTATGCACCTGGAATGAAATACAACTTGTTAAGTGTTGGACAACTAGTTGAAAAAGGTTTCAAAGTTGTCATGAAAGATGGAGTTTTGAAATTGTTCGACACTAAGAACAACTTGGTTTTACAATCTCCATTGTCGAAGAACAGGACATTTAAGACTATGATCAATTCGACAAAAAGTTCAATGTTTGAAAACTTTTGTTGACCACAAGGATAGTTGGTTGTGGCGTTTGAGGTTTGGACATTTGAATTTTCGATCACTTAATCATCTGATTACTCAAGATATGGTTACTGGTATTCTAAGTCTTGAGATGTCTGAAAAACTTTGTGAAGGTTGTTTAGTGGGAAAGCAATCCAGAAATTATTTCATTTCGACTATGTCAATAAGATCATCCTGCATTCTCGAAGTGGTGCGCTCAGATGTATGTGGTCCATTGAAGAACATACAATTGGTGGAAACATATATTTTGTTTCCTTTGTCGATGAGTTTAGTCGAAAGCTGTGGATCTATGTGATCAAACGAAAGGCCGAAGTATTCGAAATCTTTAAAAGATTCAAGATACTTGTTGAAAACCAGAGTGAGAAGGAGATCAAAGTTCTACGAACAGATGGAGATGGAGAATACACATCCAAGATGTTTGAAGATTTCTGTGCAGAATATGGTGTTGATCATGAGGTAACTGCTCCTTACACACCTCAACATAATGGAATTGTTGAAAGAAGAAATAGAACCATATTAGATATGGCAAGATGCATGTTGAAGCAAAAGAATTTGTCAAAATCTTTATGGGGAGAAGTTGTTTTGACTGCAGTTTATATTTTGAATAGGTGTCTTACTAAGATATTGAAGAACAAGGTTCCTGAAGAAGTGTGGAGTGGCAAACGATCATTAGTAAGTTACTTGAAGGTGTTTGGCTATATGTGTTACAAGCATGTTCCTGATGCAAGGAGAAGGAAGCTTGATGACAAGAGTGAACCTATGATTCTGGTAGGATATTATAAAACTGGTGCATACACACTATTCAATCCAGTTAATTAAAAGATTGTGTTGAATCGAGATATTGTGATTAATGAAAATTCTGCCTGGGATTGGAATTCTAGCAATTCAATTAACAAATCATTAATGAACTTTGATTTCGACGAAGAAACTAATGAAGTAGAGGTCGAAGGAATTATTGAGAATTCAGTCGAAGTCGAAGAAGAAGCGGTTGCTGACACTCCCGTCACATTCAAAGTCGAAGAGATTGTGGCTGAAACAAGCCAGAGACCTCAAAGAAATAGAGTTCTTCCAAAAAGACTTCATGATTATGAAGTGATGGGTGATGATGAAATCACACCAAATGGAGAATTAGTTCATTTTGCTTTACTTACAGGTGCTGAACCAATCAATTATAGCGAAGCTTTGAAGATTAACAAGTGAAAGTTAGCTATGGTCGAAGAGTTACAGGCAATCGAAAGAAACAACACATGGGAGTTAGTCGAATTGCCAACACATACAAAAGTTATCGAAGTAAAGTAGGTGTTCAAGTTGAAACACAATGCAGATGGGTCAATCGCAAGACATAAAACAAGGTTTCACTTCTTGAGGAAAAAAGTAAATCAATGTGAACTTGAAGTTAGACATTGCTCAAGTGAAACACAGTTGGCCGACATTTTCACCAAAGGATTGAAGATCGACAGATTCATGAATTTGAGAAAGAAATTATGAATAGTTCAGATTGACTATTTTTGAGGATGTTCGACAACTTGGATTATGGAGGTGTGTTGAAATATTAAATTAGATTTGATTAGATTTGATTAGATTTAATATTTAATAATAATCCAAGTTGTGTTAATTCAAGCTCAATTAGGGTTGTATATAAATAGTCATAATGTATATCATTATTTGTACACTTGAATAATACAAATGCTTATTTCCTTTATTATTTTCTCTTTCTCTCCTCACTAAAAGTACCTCATGCACTAACAATTATTATGTCACTAAATAAATGATCATTTGAATTCTTAAAACCTAAACACATTAAATCATTTTCCTTATTCAGTGAACCTTTCGCTTTCCTAGATGCATTGAGAAGCGGAAAGTCTCATTGAAAATTGTATTTTTTTTTCTTCGATGAATATTTGTCTGTAAATCTAATTATCCATTTCTACAAACCACAAATCTCCAAATATTCAAAACTCCCTTCAATCATTTCAAAAATACAAATCTCCAAATATTCAAAACTCCCTTTTCTCTGAAAATACAAACCCTCCGTTCCAACCCTCACTTGCTCCATGGATTCAATCAAACACTCAGATTTTCATTGCTTCATTCAAATACTGGAACCACAAACGCTCAGTTTAAAGCTGATATGGAGTTTTGTAGTTTCGTCCTCATCTGCCTTCCATGTCTCATGGTCTACCGCCCCTTATTAACTTTTTTTTCTAGCGCACATTCTCATCGTCTCTCACCCAAAACAAGCTGGTAAGTCTCTATGTAAGTATTTATATCTTTTAGATTTGTTCTTATTTATTTATTTTTTTCATTCCAATTCCTCAAAGTGCGTAAATCGTAGAGAATATGGTAATAATTCCTTCCATATATGTAATTAAAGATACTAAAATAAGAAAGTAAATGAAGCTACAATTGAATATCAAGATCAATTTGATCATGGAACAAAAAAAAAAAAAGAATATGAATGTAACAAAAAGAATCTTCAAGAATAATAAAACTTAAATCATGTGTTAGACAGTCATGTTTAAGTTTAAACTAATATAGATTTGAAGCATGTGTTAGAGAAAAAACCAAACTGCTCGTGATAAATGGTTGAGGTTGTTGTCTACTTAACTGTTGCTTTGTAAAGTTGGGATATAGTAATTTTAATTTCGCAATAAATTTATGTTGGATTTGTTGGAAATCCGCCAAATATCTATCATGAATTTCTACTTCAATGACAATGAATTATGATAAAAATAAAAATAAAGAAAAAAGACAATTATTTTTTGCAGAGTTCCTCTCTGCTCACAAACTGTAGATAACTTTGTTATTCACTTGCAACTGCAAAATATGTGAATACAACTTAATTGACTTGATTACAAAAAATATGAGTTACTCCCTCTATTTATAACTGAGCTTGCACCCTAAGCCCAAAACCCAAAATATTTATTTTGTTACTAAATCAAATCTAATCTATTCTAGATTTAAATCAAATCTATTTAAATCTAAATAAATCTAATCTTTTCGACACTATGAATTACAATTTAACACACCATCTAATTCATTATGTCTAAACTATCTATGTTCATCATGACTCTTAGCCTTTTGAATATTTCGACTTGCACTCCCTTCTCATGATGTCTGCAATCTGATTCTCAGTTCTGCAGTGTTTCAAATTCATCTTCTCATCTGCTACCTGCTCTCGAAGATAATGGAATCTCATTTCGATGTGCTTACTTCGATCATGTGCTATTGGGATCTTCGCCAGATTGATAACTCACATGCTGTCTATTTTTATGGTAATTGCTCCGTGATCTTTCCCTGTTATCTCTTCGACCAAGTTCACCATTCAAGTTGCTTGACATGCACAAAGAGAAGCAGCTATGTATTCTGCTTCGCATGATGATAATGTCACTACTGGTTCATTTCTTAAATTCCAAGCAACTGGTGCACCACCTAGTATAAACACATATCATGTTGTTGACTTTTGATCTTCAGCATCACTACACCAACTCGAATCAGTGTATTCCACTAACTTGCATTCTTTTCCTTTATCAGCTGCAGGAAACAGAATGCCATAATCGAAAGTTCCTTTGAGATACCTTAGTATCCTCTTCACTGCTTCTAGATGTGATACCTTTGGCTTCTGCACAATCTACTTACCATACCTACACTATATGCTAAGTCAGGCCTTGTATGACAAAGGTATCTCAATGATCTAATCAATCTTCTGTATTGGGTTGGATCAACATCGTCTTCATCAGCATCTTTCGACAATTGCAGTCTTGGTTCTGCAGGCGTCGAAGTTGAGTTGCATTCTTCCATCTCAAACCTCTTGAGAATTTCTCCTGCATATCTTCTTTGATGCATCATCAAACCTCTACTGCTCTTGTAGAATTCTATATCAAGGAAATATGAAATCTCACCCAAATCAGACATTTTGAATTCCTTGTTGAGATCACATTTGAAGTCTTCGATCTCACTTTTACAGCTACTTGTTATCAACAAATCATCTACATAGAGACATAATATAAGCAATTCACTCTTGCTTCTTCTTACATATACTCCATGTTCAGTTGTGCATTTTACAAATTCCTTCTCCCTTAGGAAACTATCAATTTTCTTATTCCAAGCTCTTGGAGTTTGTTTCAATCCATACAGGGCTTTATGCAGCCTGTACACCTTTCTTTCTTCGTCATGTTTCACAAACCCAACTGGTTGTTTAACATAGACTTCTTCGTCTAAGGGTCCAATTAGGAATGCACACTTTACGTCCATCTGACATATGTGTCAACTGTTTATTTCTGCTAGACCAACAACCAACCTGATTTTTTCGATCCTAGCAACAGGTGCAAAAACTTCATCGAAGTCTATTCTTTCTTTCTGTAGAAATCCTTTCACCACAAGTCTTGCTTTGTGTCGAGTTACTTCCCCTTTCGAATTCGTTTTCACTTTGTATACCCACTTGACATCAATTGCCTTCTTGCCTTGAGGAAATTCGACAAATGACCAAGTGTTGTTGTCTTCGATAGACTTCACTTATTCGTTCATTGCTTTCACCCACTTCGAATCCTTCAGTGCTTTAGCTGCATTAACAGGTTCGACATCTGCATAGAAAGCATAATGTACCAGCTCACCTTCATCATCTATTACACCATCTGATGTAATCACACAATCTTGCAATCTTGCACGCATACATCTTGTTCTTTAAGGTCTGCTTGTACTTGGTATATTTGTTGGTTCCTCTTGTCAAACATCTCTTTCTACTTGAGTTTCTGGTTCTTCGAATAGGATTCCCACTGAATCTTTCTTGACATTTTCAGTCCAATCTCACTCTTTAAACTCATCTATGATCACGTCCCTGCTGATCACAATCTGTTTTTTCACTGGATCGAACAACTTGTAACCTCCTGTCGAATGATATCCAACTAGAATCATTTGATTTGACTTGTCATCAAGTTTTCTTCTCAACTTATCTGGCACATGTCTATGTGCTATAGATCTAAATACCTTCAGATGACTCAAGCTAGACTTTACACCAGACCAACATTCATCTGGAGTAATTCCTTCTAGCTTCTTTATAGGACATCTGTTCAAAATGTATGTTGTAGTCGAAACAGCTTCACCCCAAAACTCTTTAGGTAAATTCTTGCCTTTCAATATATTTCTCACCATATTCATGATGGTTCGATTCTTCCTTTCTGCAATTCCATTTTATTGTGGAATATAGGGTGGCACCACCTCACGCACAATCCCTTCCTTTTCACATAGCCTATCGAAGTCTTTCGACACATATTCTCCACCATCATCAGTTCTCAAAACTTTGAGCTTCCGACCACTTTGTCTTTCGACCATAAACTTAAACTTGACAAATATTTCGATCACTTCACTTTTCTTCTTGATCAGATAAGTCCACAGCTTTCGACTGAAATCATCTATGAATGTAATAAAGTATTTGTTACCTCCCATCGAATCCACCTGGATTGGTCCACATACATCAGAGTATATGACTTCAAGACTAGCCTTCAACCTGCTTCCTGCATCCTTGCTGAAGCTATTCTTGTGTTGCTTCGCTTGCACACATTTCTCACATACCTTATTTGGAATGTCGATTTCTGACAATCCTGAAACCATATTTCTTCTCTTTAAATCTCTGATGTCTCTGAAGTTGAGATGGCTTAGTCTATAATGTCATATTCATTCATCTCTGCTAGCTGTAGTCAAAAGGCACTTGTGCTCCATCATATTTAGTTCAATCTTGAAGGTTCGATTCTGAGACACATGAACCTTCAAGATTAATCTCCCATTTGCATCAACGACTCTCATCATCTTATCTTTGATTGACACTTTATAATTCTTTTCGACCAACTGCCTTATACTGAGCAAATTGCTCTTCATGCCCGGTATGTACAACACATTGGAAATTACTGACCTCTTGCCATCTTTCCTCATAATCATAACATCACCAATACCTTCAGCTGCTAGGGTATTGTCATTTGCAAATTTTACCATATTTTTCGTTGAGGGCTTTATATTGACAAACCAGTCATTCCTTCCAGACACATGTGATAAACATCCTGAATTCAAGTACCATTGGTCCTTGAATCTATCTTCATCTTTTGTTGTGACTATCAACATCATCTATTCTTATTCATGTTTTGCAAGCTTTGCATCACTTTCTTGATTCATTCGTTTTTCTGGACAATCACTCGGATAATGACCATACTTCTGACAATTGTAACATTGAATGTGACTCTTATCAGGTTTTCGACCACCACCTCTTCCTCTATTTGCAACACCATCTCTTTGGTTGCCTTAGTGTGGTCTTCTTTGATTCGAAGAGTTTTCTTCGTTCTAGTTTCCTATACCATTCGATTTGTTGTAGCCGCCTCTACCTCTATTGAAATATTTTCTTTTGTCTTTGATTTCTTTTGTTGAATGTGCATGCAAGGGCACATCACTCTTCAATTTTCCTGCAGCTCTTTCATTCATTCTTTGTTCATAAGATTCAAGCGTCCCTTGAAGCTCTTCCTTTGTCAATTTCAACAAGTCTTTCCCCTCTTCTATCGCCACCACTATGTGGTCGAACTTAGGAGCTAAAGATCTCAAAATCTTCGAAATAACAGCTCTTGTTGTTAATGTTTCTCCACATGCCTTGATTTGATTCATTAGTTTTGTAACTCTAGTGAAGAAATCAGATATGTTCTCACTATCTTCCATCTGAAGCAATTCATACGTTCTCTTGTGAGTTTGTAACCTCACTTCTTTCACCTTTTCTGCACCTCCAAAGGACTTCTCAAGAACGTCCCAAACTTCTTTTACAGATTCTGAATCACTCACTTTTTCAAAGTTTTCTGGACTTAGACATTGATGAATTATAAAGAGCGCTTTATAACTCAGCTTCTCAATTTCTACATGTTTCTTCTTTTCTTCTTCTGAAGTGTTTTCTTCAAGCACTTCGACTCCATCTTTTACAAGGTCCCAAAGACCTTGACACCTGAATAAGACTTTCATTTGTTTACACCAATTCTCATAGTTGTCTATTTTTAGAATTAATAGAGTTGTTGGATAATTTGCATTCCCATAATTTGCCATCGTGAATTCTTCAATTGTTCTTGATTAACACTTCCCTCGAATCGAAACAAAGCTCTTGATATCAGATGTTGGAAATCCACCAAATATTTATGATGAATTTCTACTTCAATGACAACGAATTGTGAGAAAAACAAGAAAAGAAAAAAGACAATTATTTTCTGCAGAGTTCCTTTCTGCCCACAAACTGTGGAAAACTTTGTTATTCACTTGCAACTGCAAATTTTGTGAATACAACTTAATTGACTTGATTACAAAAAATAGGGGTCACTCCCTCTATTTATAACTGAGCTTGCACCCTAAACCCAAAACCAAAAATATTTATTTTGTTACTAAATCAAATCAAATATATTCTAGACTTAAATCAAATTTATTTAAATCTAAATAAATCTAATCTTTTCGACACTATAAATTACAATTTAATATAATTGATTGTTGCAGTTGATTTTTTCTACGATTTAACCAAATTTATCTAAACACAAGTATAATAACTTAAATCTCAAAAGATACCCCAAGAGAATTGTTCAACAAGTCTTTTCTTATTGAGATTAATAAGTCCATGTATTATATTAATTTGTTTGTGGGGCTTGGTAGTATTCAATTTGAAAGATTTGCATGCAGTAATTTTTTTTTGCAAGGAGTTAATATAATTTAGTTAGCACCTTAGTTAGAATCTTGTGAAATAATGCATGCTTATTTTTAAAAATATGTTTTCTCCTTTATACGTTTCGATCCTATACACAACATGTTACAAGGATTGAAGTTTATCATTGTGAAGTTAATCTAAGCTCAAAAATGTTGTAGTGTTGACATATATCTTTTATACATAGATATTCCCAACTGATGTTGTACTTCAATTTTGCAGAAAACATACTCCTCAATAAATATGGCAGTGGAAGCTAGAGATGTTCAAATATGCAATACATTAAGGCATATAATTTTGACATCTCCCATAAGACTAGCAACCGTGAACCTCTTTTTCTTCAAAGGCTATGATGACTATATTAACAATTTGATCATCTTTGACTGTTATCAAAGGGTAGATTCTTGAGAAATTGAATGTTAATAACTTATTTCTTCATGATGACCTCAATGAGAAAGTATACATGTCTATTCATCCAATATATTTTAATTATAATCTTTCTAAACTCTACAAACTTCACAAGACACTGTGAGTTTAAACACGGGTAAAGCTATTGGATTTTAATAATAACAATGGGGACATGATTTAAGTATTTCTGAAGTGATTACACAATGCTTCAGTTTTTTTCAGTTCCATTTTTTTTAATTCATCATTTATTTCTAAACATAGAATTAAATATTTAAACATAGAGTTTTGTAAAAAGATTTTTTTTATTTTAAATATAGTGTTAATATTTAGATATTAGTTTAATAATTTAAATTTTTTGTTAGTAAAATAAAATTGATAAATATATTTTCACTAATATTTAAAAAGTCAAATTATTCTTTAAAATTTTAATAAAATTTAGAGTTTAATTTTAATAAATTTTTATTGTAAAAATTATTCTTAAATATATATTATTAAATTTATAGTTACATAAATGTGAGTTGAATTTTTTTTATTTTTTCGACATTTTTAATCAATTTTATTTAATTATTATCACTAATCAAAAAATTTTAAATTAAATAATCTAATGTTGACACTATTCTTTAAAGTTTTAAAATTTTTACAACTATTTAAAAAAATATAATAAATTATAACTAATTTTATAAACGAGAAAAAATCTAAAAGTCTAATGTTGATACATTTGATTTTATAATCGAAAAATTACAAATTATATATATTAATTCACTATAAAATTTATTTTTGACTAAATTAAATAATTTTTTAATCAAATTCGAATAAGTTATAAAAATTTATAATAAATTTATATATGATTATTGTTTTTTATTTTGAAGATTGTTATTGAAAATTAGGTTATAGGTTTGATTTTAATTTTTATATTAAATTTGCATGAGCATATTTACTTAATTTATTAAATTTGGACGAGGTAATATCATAGAGTATATTTTAGATTTGTAGAAATTTGTAAGGTTTTAAAATTGAAATTTAATGAGAAAGTTGTTTGTAGGTTGTAATTGTCATACATTTTAGGTTTAAAAAAATAGACTAATATCTAAAATAGTTTAATAAAATTTTAGAATTAATTTATTTGAATTCAACTTGAGTTTATTAACTCATATAATTATTTTAATATCTATCTTTTAATTATTTATTTTGTTATTAAAATATAATTGAAGCTATAAAAATAGTTATACAATTTATTATAAATACGAATCAATGCTTAAAAATAAATATATATTAATAATATATAATTGAAATTACATGAATATTTATAAATTACAAAATAAGTTATATTATGTTTGATATTCCAAATAAATGAATTAAAATTCGATAAATGATTAAATTATAACTATATTAAATATTATCCAACTGAAAACATGATATCATATTTAATAATTTAGTCATTGATATATATAATGATCATTCAAACAAGACCCGTGCAAAAACACGAGTTTCTTACCGGTACATTAAATGAAAATGAATCTGCTTATGTTGCAAATGAAAAAATTTAAAACTAAGATTTATAAATAAGACAAGAGATTTATATATTACATATTTGTAAGTAAATTGAAAATTAAAAATAAAAAAATAAAAAAAATTCTAAAGCCTAAATCATAACTTAAGCTACCCAGGTTGGTTTATATTGTATTTTCATTGATAACAAGAGCACTATGTAAAAGTTTTATTGATATTTAGCTTTGCAAATTTTTTTGTTTAGCTTGCCATCGTTTTGATACTAAAACGATAGTTTTCAATAGAGCCGGATTAAGAAAATATATACAACTAAATATGGGGTAGATTGTGGTCTATAGTGAAATTTATTTTAGAGTTTTTATAATTATTTAAAAAATAGAATTAAATTTTTAAATAATTGAGAAATATAAAATAGTATAAAAAATGAAATAAAATTAATTTAAAGAACTCAAAAAAAAAATTGTTGAAAAGAATTGCAGAAACATTGTCTTTGTTATTAGTCGATTCTATCTAGTAATAATAAACAGACAACAAAAACAAGTAATATGCATTACAGGTACATTGGATTTAAGACAGGTTGCATAAGACTATATATGCAGAAATTCATAATAAGCAAGGGATTACAGGCATTTTTCTTCAATTTCCTCTAGTGTAAGCCCCTTGGTTTCTGGTACAATGAAGTATATGAATACAAGCGACGCCACGGCAATTGCGCAAAATATGTAAAACAAAAATCCTGCTCCGAGTAAATCCTGTAAACATAAGCGGAAAAAAGACACGCAGTTTCGATAAAGTCATTTGTGAAATATGAAAATCATGTGATTGAAGATGACACATTAGAAATATAGTCTTTTTAAAGATTATAATCACCTCCAGTGGAGAAAAGGCGAATGTAACTGAGGCGTTTGCCGCAAAATTGACAAGAACTGCTATACTAAGTCCTCGACCTCTTAAGCGCAAGGGAAAAATCTCTGCTATCATAAGCCAACCCATTGGACCAAAGGAAATCTGAAAAACAACAGAGTCGCTAAACATTGTAAGCATGGACAAAACTAAATCACAGATGATATAAATCCTGACATGAAGAATGAGGATAGAATGACGCGTATTCACCTGATAACAACCAACATAGAGAAGCAGACCAGCTACAGCAAGAACTGCCGCATTATTCAAGAATATGTAATACGAGCCCAGTAAGAATAAGGAGACCACCTGCCATACAAAATAAAAACATGTTCTTGAACTATGAATTTTGTTTACAACTGAGATGTCTACACTCATTCCTTTTATATAATTAACTAACTCGATGCAGCACACGGGACTTATTAGAAGACTCGGCTGAGCCTCTTAATTTGAGATAGAAATGAAAAATGTTTCTTTCTCAAGGAAATTGCTAACAAAATTATCTGTCAAAGTCTAAGAGATAGATAGAAAGGAACTTACTATTCCGGAAACTCCTCCAAGTAGTAAAGGTCTCCTTCCAAGTTTATCAACAATGACAACAGCCACTCCGGTCATAATCAACTAGAACAAAAGCAGAAGGAAATGTCGCCATTGAGAATGTTTAGTCCTTGGGTAGTTAGATAAAATAACATTTCATGTCTTGAACAATATATGTACAATCCGCGAAATCAAATTTTGTATATAATAGAAACTGAAAATATATGATACTACAACTAGATTAATACATAAATTCAAATGTTAATCATTAAGAATATGAGAAAATGAAATCTACCTTAAATACACCAAGGAGAATAGCGACCCGGGTAGCATCAGATGCTAAGGAGAACCCTGCACTCTGCGAAATTTAATTGGATAATAATAGTGTCATTACACTCAATGGTGCCAAGTAATAATAAATTCTATGAATTTGCAACAGTATTCCTTGATTAAAACCAACATGATACCTGAAGGATTGATGCGGCGTAGTAGAGAACACTTGGTTGCCCTGTGATCTGTCATAAATTTGCATCTTATAGTAATAAATATACTGAAATGTTGGTAACTCTTATAACTATTAGTATTTCACTTAAGCAATTACAATACCTGTTGAAACAAGACCAATCCTGCACTAATCACAAGAGCCTTCTTGCATTTACCCCGGAACATTTCTACAAAGGTAACCTCATTTTCTACACCTATATATGAAAGCTCTGCCATTATCTCATCTACTTGCTGAGGCGCAGAATCATGAAATGTCCGACCTTGAAGATGGCACAAACTACAAATTGCGGTGTCTTTCAAATGCTGAGCATCCCCTTTTCTCTGTATAGCACACAAAAGTAGCCATCTAGGAGAAGCTGGGAGCCACCACATTCCGAATCCCATTATTACTGCAATGGGGCTACTGATTCCATACATATACCGCCATCCACCAACGGTTTCTACCCACAAGCTACCTAATCCATACCCTGCCTGCACAAATTTGCGATATACAGCCATTTTAAGTAATATTAAGAAACTAGGAACAGAAACTAATTTGATACTAGAAGATTATTTTTGAGGAAGTTAAACAGCAGTAAAAGGAAAAACTAAAAAAAGTTCATTTGCTTTTCCGCATTTGACAGGAAAATTCAAGGTTCTACCAGAAAAGTTTAAGAACTTACAACCATCCCAATCACTATAAAGAATTCTTTCAGAGAGATTAGTAGCCCACGTATTGGCGTTGGAGCTGTCTCCGCAATGTACATTGGAGCAGCATGCATTGCCTGAAAGAGATAGAATGAACATCGCGTATCTTGCTTTGAAGTTAACAAGTTAAAGAGAAAATACACTACACATCAATTATTTCACCGTTTGTTTCCTCATTTAATCAAGATTAAGAAGACGTATAAGTTAGTAAAAAGACACTAAGCTAGCGAGAGAAGGTTGGTTAATTCCTATAATTGTTACAGGTCGATAATTCCTCTATAAATGCACAAAATCAGACCTATACATACAAAAATACACAATGAGATACCTAGTGATTACATATAAAATATACTACACATTAATAATTTCATGGATTGTTACAGGTCAATAATTCCTATAGGCTATAATTGTAGCACCACACTTATTGAATGTGTGCCCGGAACTGACACGACACCGGCTCATGTGATTACATTCAATTAATTCATTTTCTTTGATTATTACCGGTGTCAATGTACCAGTGTCATGACTAGTGTCCGTGTCAGTGTTTCATAGACAGATATCCAACATCTCCAATTGTCTACATTGTCAGCTACTTCAACAAATCTGAAATGAAAATGTACAAGCTTAGCTGTACCATTTGCATTAAAAGAAAAGCATACCAATCCGATTCCTATTCCATATACCAATCTCCCAACCACCAATACAAGAAAATTAGGAGCTAGTGCTGTTATGAGGGCTCCAACAAGATACACCAGTGCAGCTACAATCAGCTCTCTTCTTCTCCCTATTCATAAAATTTGTCATGTCAGCTTCACACTGGAAGGAAATATCAAAAATGATAACTGATAGAAATGCACAATTACCTAGGAAGTCAGCAATATTGAAGGCCAGCAAAGAGCCTATTAAGGCACCATATAATGATCCACTAGTCTGCAAAAGACATCAAGTATCAATAACTGAGCCCATATTCAAGACCAACATAAAATTGTATGAATTAACAAATGATTCATGAAAATTACAAAAATGCATGTAGCCGTAACCAAATAAAGAACAAATCAATAATTTAATTTCAACTTACAAGAAGTCCAACTTGAACAGAGTCTAAGTTATACCAAGTTATTCCACTTTGTGATGGTGACTGCAAAGAATGGAAATTATAAGTACACAAGCAAAGCATTGAAAAAATACAACAATAACAAGGATGAGAATCAATAAAACTTAAACCCTACTTTCCATAGAGAATCAAAGCATGAGTGGATAGAAACATTAAACCCTACTGCATGTGATCCAATAATAAGGTTCCTAAATTGTTAACATGTAGGCTACGATGTTATTCCCATATAGTGTCGCGTAGCCCCGACCCCTAAAATGATATAGCGGTAGAGCGGATTGCAGGATAGCTGCTATTGCGAAGACTTAAAATCAATGTGCAAAGTAAACACAATTAAAGAGACCTTTTTACTTAATAATTAAAGAACCTAAAGTACAAATCAATAAAACTTAAACAAAGAAGAAAAATATAAGAGAACCGAACCAAAAGTAGGAAGAACATAACAATGGTTTGTATGCAAGAACATAACAGAACGAAAAACATAATTTTGCTCTTAAAAGGGGCTTTTATACACTTAAAAAAGACCAGGGTTTGAAAAAAGTCTGAGGAATTTTTCCCCGAAATCCTAATAGCGGTTTGGGGCTGCAATAGCGGTCGCTACACCCACTATTGTTGACGGAGGCTTGCGGGCCAAAAGCGTTGAACGGGACCCTACAATTGCTAAGCTATTCCACTATAGCGCGCTATTGAAAACATAGCAGGAAGGATGTGTAATATCTAAAGTCACTTACTCACTAGAAAAGGACTAAAGTAAGAGAATATAACAAGACCCAATTCTCCAATATCTTTAGATTTTGGATGAAAATGTGGCATCAAAGTCACCTGTCTTGATGAGTTTGATTGGCCCATTGGTATACTTCCTTCAGTTCAGTCACCACTTCTTTGACACCACATCTCAAGACTTCGATACAGCATCTTCACCCACACATTGGTCACATGGGTTGTGTCCCTTATATTTTCTTTCAATTAGCCTTTTCCTAGCCAATATGAAATTTCTTCTTCCTTTACCACTCATTCGGATTCCTAACTTTTTCTCCATATTTATATGCTTCTATGGGCCAAAGCTAGTATATAAGTATACTATTTATTGGAAAATACCAGAAAAAATGCCCATTTCTATGTGATTAAAATGAGCAGTAACAGTAAAAAGAGAGAAAGGTAGGAAGAGGAATGACACCAAGGAGATATGGGAAACAAAAAAATACCGAGTACTGAAATTACGAAGAGGGAAAATACTGAATCGGTGTCAAAATTAGAGTAGAAGGGTGTACCTGGATGGAGATTGTTGCACTAGATGTGGCACCAATGTCGTAGCCAAATAGCAGACCACCAAAAGCTGGGAAGAGAAATCTGAAATTTTTTAAACATGTTTTAGGTTAGTCTACAAGCAGAGCTCTTATTTTATTTCATCGTCTTCTCACTAGGAAAGAATATCACACAGTTAATTAAAGACTTGTTATCAGAAAATCAAGGGTGGATAATGAAGATGAAATTATGGCAATTTTCTTCATTGTAGTAGTCAAATTATTTCATCAACATCAAGTAGAAAGGAAACGAAGAAGCCTAAAAGTCAAGGATAGAGGATTGATGATGCGCAATAGCAATGCGCATCTGCAATCCTCTATCCGTCATGATTAACACATGTCTCCATTCAGCAAACCCGATCAACATAACACCACATCTAGAAATTAAAGTCTTCCGTACAGCCACTTAAAGTTTAGCCCATTATCATAGTCCAAGCTAAACGACCATCCTTCATGTAGCTAATATCTATTGTACATGATTGATCGAATTTGAACAGAAATAAAGATAAATGACAAAATTTCCAAGCAACAAGTACAAAATAACACAGAAGTTGTCGAAAAGTAATAACACCCACGGGAGAATTGCAGCAGTGATGGAATAGTTTTGAGAGGCATGTAACCCATTAAGCAGAGGCTCCCTTTCAGTTGTAACCCCTGCGGGTGGCTTTCCTTCCTAATAAAAATCAATGCATTTCAAGTGTTACAATTTATAAAAGCAAATAAATACCATAAAACAACAACAAACTAGTTTAGTTGGCACCAAAACATCATGAATCTATGCATCAAATATCAATGGATCTGAATGTGTATCTATTTGCAAGCATTCAATTTTTCCCGAAATAGCAAAGACCAAAACCAAACAAATAAATATGATTATATGAAGCATAGACAACGACATTTATGTGAACACTCTCAACATAAAGGGGGAAATCCAGTACATACCAACTTGTTAAGTATATGAATGGCAACAACAACAAAAAATGAAGCAGTTGAACTTGTTTTTTGAGCTTACTTTGAGTGCAACAAGTACATATATTTTAGGATACCCTTTTGAATCCAAATCAATACCTTGATTACCTTTCCTACTTTCAACAGTTCCATTACATCAATAGACATGAAATTGAAATTGAGAAGTTAAGAATGAGAAAGAGAATAAGATAAAACCTTTGAGAAAGAGGAAAGTGGAGGTTGTTCAGGATCAGACGCCATTGGTTTGATGCTTGAAACGTTGGTGGAAGAAAAATTGGCAATATATAAAATATAATAAAAACAGTAAGAATGAAAATTAGGTAGCACCGTAGCAGTATATATTTATTAGAGTAATTAAAAATTAAAAAGAAAAAAGAAAAAGTTTGGATTTATGAGTTTGAGAAAGATGGATGAAGAGTGATTAATGTAAGTGGTGATTGGAGGAAGCAAGCAACCACATGGATAAATGGCTAGACACGTGTCGATATAATCAGTTTCAACGTATGTATGCATTTTATAACATGTCCATGAGGATAAAAATTCATTTTTTATTAATCCAGTTTTAAATGATTTTTTTAAAATAAATTACATAGCAATGTCACGAGTCATCGCTGGTCGGGATTGGACCACAAACTGGAAGATTGAATTAAAGTTGTCAAAAGAGAATCTTTTCGTAATACACTTTTATACTAGTAAATTAAGCTTTTCAAAATCCAAAAATATCTTTTACACATTATTTCCGAACTAGTTTAAATTTAAAGGTATTAGAGATATGAATATTTGAAAATACTCTAAATTAATTTTTAAGGTATTTCTAAAATGTATCTTTAAAAATATTCATGTTTACGTATTATTATTATTTAAATATTTTATTTAAATATTCAGTGATATTTTTGAATGTGTATATTCGAAAATATTTTTGTAATATCAATTTGTTGCATTATCATCTCCACCACTCTTCATTTTCTTCATTTCTTCTCATAATTAAAATCTACCATAAAACTCCAACAATTCTTAATCAATTTTTCATTTTCAAACCAAGTTTCAAATATTTTATCATATCAAATTGAGCATAGAAAGTTATAAGATAAATCCTCCTCATTTCATCTCTCATTTTCTTGCATTGATGTTGATTTTGAGATGAAAAAATAACATCACTTCAAATATGAATATTTAAAATATACCTATTATATCTCGGATATGCATATCCAAACTTTCTCTGAGTTTTAAAAGATTTTATGTTTTTGCTCGTTTTAAATATGGTGCACCCCGACATGTTTCTCAATGTTGTTGTAAAGGTTTCAGACAAGGTGAATGACGATGCTAAGTCGGATGAGGTGAAAGAGGGTGTTAAAATGGTTGATGTCGAGATAGATGTTCGATAATAATTTACAAATGATCAAATTTTCAATGCTCGTCAACATATACTTGAATGGTTCTGAATGGAAGCTAGCAAACTTGGATTTGATATTGTGATTGGAAGGTCCAACAATGGCACTAGTAGGAGGCAAGCATTTGTAACGATGACATGCGAGAGAAGAGGAAAATATGTTCCAAAAATTCGGAAGTTAAAACATGAAGACACTGGATCAAGAAAAAGGGTGAATTCAGAGATTAATATTCAAAAAATGCCCTGGAGGTAGGATAAAAATTATTTGATCCAAATTACTCCAAATCTTCTATAAATATGGTGTCTAAACCATTTCTTCAGCATCACACACCACAAACAGAGATGAGTCAAACTTCAGTGGTGAGAGATCGTCACTTCAATTTAGGTTCTCCGAGGACACGCCTCTCGCCGAGCTGATTACCATACTAAATTCTATCTTGAAATATCCAGAAAATCGAAAGGTGGTCAAGCTCGAGTATCGTTCACCCTCACTTGACCCTGAAGGAAATATAAAGTTCATCCAATTTGCACTGAAGACAGATGACGATCTAAAGGTTATGTGGAGTATTTTTTACTGATACTCTACTACGAGTCTGATTAAAGTGGATGTGAAGCTTCAAAGATTGGGAGAAGATGTTATCAAAATGTTGCGACGTCCTCAGCTACCCATTTATAACAATATATAATGTTAAATTTTTGTTCAACTATCAATGTTAAATCTATGTTAAATTGTTATGGTTTTAAGGTTTTTGTTTTTGTTTGAAAGTTAGGGTTTATTTCGGATATGTGTGTCTGAAAGTTACCATTTCGATTAAAGTGGTTGTGAAACTTTAAAGATCGGGAGAAGATGTTATCAAAATATTGTGACGTCCTCAACTAACTGTTTATAACAATATGTAATATTAAAATTTTGTTCGACTATTTATGTTAAATCTATATTAAATTGTTATGGTTTTAAGGTTTTTGTTTATGTTTGGAAGTTAGGGTTTATTTCGGATATGTGTGTCCGAAAATTATCATTTAGTAGCTTCAGATATGCATCTCTGAACCTATTTGATAAAAACTGTAATGTAGTGAGTTCGGATATACATATCTAAAATAAATAGGTATTACAGGAATTTTGCCAAGGGCCTCTAAGAAAACATAATGGTGCATTAAGAAATTGTCTTGTCAAAATAGGTTAGATTATATGAGCCGGTCCATTCGGCCTGAAAAACTATAGAGTTTGGACTTTAAAATTATATTTCATATTTTTAGGGCTTTTTTAGTCCGACCCTAAAAATTATGCTACCCATTAAGGTTAGTCGTATGGGCCGCAGGTAATTTATTAAACTCGGGTATTTATAATAGATAATATAGTACATAAAAACATATTACGTTTAAAATAATATAATTTTTAATTTCATTTATAATAAATATTATAGAATTTTATTTTAATATTTTTATTAAGAAAATTCATTTAGGATCGAGTAGTAAGAAGCTCATCTAGGACCGGACTCAGATAATAATTTTTAGAGTTAAATAAGTTTTTAACCCCTCTAAATATCTCAAATTTCTTTTTTAGTCCCTCTAAAATTTTCTTTTAAAAAATGGTCCTTCTAAAAAATTAAATTTTAACTTTTAGTCTCTCCTACAATTTAGTGACGGTTTTTACAACTTAGCAACGATTTTTATTTAGCGACGGAGTTAGAGACCATTTTAGCTATGATTTTGTCAAGAGAGGCCAAAAGTTAAACTTTAATTTTTTAAGAGGACCATTCTTTGGAGGAAAAATTTAGAAGGACTAAAAATGAAATTTGAGATATTTAGAGGGACCAAAAACTTATTTAACCCTAATTTTTAAACTCCATATTACAACAGAACTTTTTTGGACCAGTCCTTAAAAGCCTGAGATCCGCCAAAGTTGATCCGTTTAGAGGATAGTCTATTTTGACAACTCTAGATAGAATAATTTGATAAGAATATCATACCATTATTGCAATTGATCCAAAAAAAATTAATATGGCTTGGTCGATTTTCTAATAAGACCAATAAAACAGTAAATTTCTTAATGACATGTTAATCCTTTTATATTTATTTTTTAGTTAAATTATAATTTTGATGTCTTTATCTTTATTTATTTTTATTTTGGTGCTCTTGTTATAAAAAAAAAAGATTATTAATATTTATAATTGTGTTAATTATTTATAATAATTAAATTATCTTACAATAAAAATGAAATTTTATCAAATTTTAAGAATAATATATAATTTCTTTAATGTTTAATTTGGTTTATATATCATATAATTACAACATTTATCTTTAATATATTCTAATTAAACTTATTTATTATTAATAATATAATATAACAATATAATAAATTAAAAAATTAACTATACAATAATACTCTAAATGAATAAAAGTTTTGAAAATAAAATTATATTTTTCATATCATTTTCGGAATGAATCTCATTATTTAAAAAAAATTATATTATATTTTTACTTTATTTTTAATATAAATATCATTATTATTTTCAAATCAAAGTTACATTAATTTTACTAACTTTTTATTAAAAAAAATATTTTTCTACTCTATATTTTATTTTTATTATTCATATAGAACTAATATTTGTTTATGTTCTATATTATTTTAGAAATTAATTGTTATAAATTATTAGTCTAAATTTTTGTACATGATTTTTTTAAAACAAAATTGCTTTCCTTCACTTTCACCTCTTCCATAAAATTATACATGCAATCATGAGGTGGTTGTCAAATAGAAATGAGGACTTGTAAAGAATTTAGTAAACTGGACCACACTACAATTTGGACTGTACTCTATCTTTGAAGCGTGCAAAATTGAATTTCTTGTTTATTCAAAAGCGGATAAAATCGATATTACAGAAGTTAAAACCTAAGTTATCACAGTTGAACGTCTCACCGTTAATATGGGCAACAATAGTATAATTTTGTGAATGATCCATGTTGTTGAGGTATATTTTTTGTGAGTTATGGATGTATGCTGGTAATGCAACCTACACAGACGATTAAATAGACTGATATTCTGCATGCATGCGCCACCCTAAGTGGCTAATCCTCCTATTTTCTCATGCATGCACCACTCTAGGTGGCTTATCCTCCTCTTTATGTAAGCATGCGCCACTTAGGTTGACTTATCCTCCTTTTTTTGCATGCATGCACCACCTAGGATGGCTTGTCATTGAACAACAAAACTTGTATGCATGCCATCTGATCCCTGTCACGCTGCAGGTTTGCATGCATGCAAAAAGCAATAAGCCATGTTGGATGGCGCCTATGTACAATAAAGAGAGCATGTGCCACCTAGTGTGGCGCCTATGTGCAAGAAAGAAGAGCATGTGCCACCTAGTGTGGCGCCTATGTGTATAAGTTGCATGCAAAGTGTTCTTCAAGATTTTCCTATAAATACATGTAACATTCACCCTATATTTTCATCACAATCATAACTCACACATTATTTCTTTCTTGAAGTCTCAACAATACCACAAGAGTAATCAAGAAAAAATGTCTCTCTTGATCATGGGTGATCAACATAGAGGAACTCCGAACAACATTGAAACCTTTGTGAGTGTATTTTCTCAATACCTATTTTTTGCCGACAATTTTTTGTTCCTTAATTCTTATGATTGTTATACCTAAATCTTGTATTTCTTATACGTAATTTATGTTTTTAATATGATGTTAAAAGATTCTGTTGTCGTGTCCATGAGTATGTCCCTTACGATGTTCAAATTGAACAGTACTTACGACATGCCGGTTTTGATCCGTTACTCAACATAGTCAATTACCATGTTGACTATAAAATTATTCTCGCATTAGTGGAGAGATGGAG